AGAAAAAAATTCAATGACGAAGCAGAAAATGTTCATAAAAAAATGTTTCATTGTAATTTCGATCACATATAGTCTTAGTTACCGAAGACGAAAGAAAAATGTTAATAGATTCTAATTAATCTAAATTAGATTTTTTTGTACAGTTCTTCTTCACTTGTGTTGGAAGATTCCCGCTTGAGGTCATTGTCGATATATGATTCAATACTCATTTATACAAAACGCAATGTTTCCTTAAAAAATCTTTCCTAAGTCTGTTTGACTAAGAAAGTGTTATTATTAGTTGCCGAAGGTGGTGAAAACTCTTGGTATTTGTACAAGAATTATGATGCGCTGCTCAAATCTATCAATCTTATAGAATGAGAAAAAAGTGTTTGAGCTTACGAAGTGTGAATCTAGGGCAGACTTGGACCTATCCAAACCTTGTCGCTTCATCATGTATGGTTTGAGATTATATTTTTGTTATGAGTAGGACTCCGTGAAGATGAAAAAATCTTCAATGGGTTCCAGTCCATACGTTATTCAGCTGGAGTCACGATAGTTTTAGTGAGGTTTCGACCTCTAGACCAGCTATTCATGAAAACTCAATTACGACTACGTTTCGCCTGAAACTTTGCCCATAGATACGTCTCACATCTATTAGAATATCCTAAAACTTTCAGCTCAAATGAATGAATTTTTCTTAGAATATTAAATGTCTAAGACAACTCGAGGGTGAATGTAGATGTGAATCATGTACATTCTAGAATAATTCATAGAAAACAAGATAGACTTATCAGAAATTTAAACAAACAAAATCAATGGAATGTAGACCAATAATGTTTCCATCTATATAACTCTCTAAGTTTGTATACGCTTTGCATTGCCGTGTTTTATTCAATTCATTATAATAGGAATGAAGTAAAACAAGTCAACTAAATCAGTTGTATCGATAGAAACAAATTGATTTGGAATCATTCATTCCGTAGATTTCGTGGTTCAACAGCACAGAAAGATAACAGATGTCATGAGGAATTGCGCATCGCTCTACAATACGATAGATTTATCTACGGTGTTGAATCGAGAGATCAACATAACGATTGATTCGAAATCAATTTTGTGACTCTCTATAGAATTGTAATTTATTTCATCTTTGCTTTACTTCATGCCTATTCTTAATTTCATACTTGAAACGAATAGTCAATGAAGAAACTTGGGAATAGCAGACACAGAAAAGAAAACAATAATCGAAATACATGTATATTATTATTCGTCATGTTCTTATAAACTTGGGAAAAGTGAAGACATAACCGACTTAGTAGCATTCACTGATGCCGCTGAAGCTCTAAATGCAGATGTGAGAAAATTTGTCGATTGATGTTGAATGATTGATGGTGGTCGAAATAAAATTGAATCGATGTGAATACGAGGCATTGATTGAATTGTCATAGGAAAGTATCGATTAAGAAATGATTTCGCAAGCGAAATAACATCTTCCATAGACATCGAATTGTGATCATCATGTGGTAAAAAGATAAGTTCTTTTTTTTCGTTACGACTTAATGAATCGTACAAAATTTGTGAATGTTGAGGCGAAATCAAATCATCAAGTTGTCCATGAATGAAGAGTACTGGAATCGTAATATGTTCTATAGCTGCAAGATTATCCCATAATGAAGTACCGATAAATAATGAAAGTATACCAATTTTTTCTCGAACTAAATTTCTTATCGATGTATAAGGAGATTGAAGAATAAGTCCACCAATTGGTCTAATAGAAGCAATATGACATGCAGGACCACTTCCAATCGAATGTCCATAGATAATTATTCGATTGATCGGCCATCGAAGTTTATCACGAACGAATGAATAGGCACGTTCCGCATGTTCATTTATTGATTTTTCACTTGCCGTTGTTTTCTCTTGACATAGACCATAGGATGGATATTCAAAATTTAGCACGTGAGCATTTAGTAGTCGACTGAATGCTTTTAATATCGTATGCATACTACCAATATCACAACCGTTACCATGACACCAGATAATAAAAAATTTTGCATCTCGCATTGGTGAATAGATCATACAAGGTATTGCTTGTGTTTGATTTGGATCATCACTTCTCGGTAACCAAAATAGATGATTAGCATGTGATTTCAATGTATAATTAGGCGGATTTGGTGCTGGAAAGAGAACTTTTTCAAGTAACATAATAATTTGTACAAGAACTGTGATTATTGTATTTTAAATATGTGTCGTATTGATGATTCGAAATCTAAAGAATTAAATATTATCGGATAGTACTTATTTAGAAATCTATGAAAATTCAATGTAAATATTACAATCTAGAAAAAAATATGAAGAGGGTATCATGTTGCATTCTATCTTGAAATATGAATGCATTTTTTATGGAATTTCGGTAGTGTAGGGTTGTGGAAAAGTCGAGAACAAGAAATTTTGATAAATGTCTTTTGTTATTTTATTGCTCTCAATGAGTTCTGTTTGCCCTGAAAACATGATTCCTTTGAAATGAAATTGGCTTGTGATTATAGCGACTACGTGATGCTTTATTCAGGAGATTTTCACTTTGTGAAGGTCGGTGAATTACTCTTGAAAGGGTGTATCTAAGTATTCCTGCGAACTTGGAGTAGTATACTATTGAGGAGAGAAATATGAATTCAATAGAAAAAAATTATGACCTTAGTGATTATCAAATAAGATGAATTTTAGGACCAATCTACCAAGTACTTCAATCAGCACTTGAAAATGTAATGTACAAAGATTTTAGTTTACTTGTCTCATCCTGAAACACTTGTTTAAGTACTTGACTAAGCATTGGACACTGTAAATTACTGCTTGTTTCTCTGTAAACATTGATGATATAAAGTCAACTTGAATCCTTTCAACAATCTCAGTTGATGACTTACTAAATTAATACCAAAAATTGTTGTTTTAGATTCCAGTCTATACAGTATACTAATAGGAGCAAAATACCATGCTCATTTTTATTTCATGTGTCTTCATTTCGTCAGTTATGAGTGAGATCATTGCGGGAAATTAAGTCAGCTTTTTTTTCACCGCTGTTTAGAGAGAAACAAAAGTATGTAACTCGATTTCGCGTGATGGAATTTAACTTGAAATATAACAATTTCATAGGGAAAAAATATTGCAAGAATAATTTTAGAAGAACGAATAACGACACAATATGTTTGCATCGTCAATAAGAAATTCACAGATTAATGTATTTTCGTAAAATTTTCTACGTATGTACTAGAGACTATGAGCTACGATAAAACGCAAAGTAGACAGTTGTAGCTTTTCGAACTTTTGAAATATAAACAAAACTAAAGCATTCTATCGATTTTTCAGATAACGTTGGCAAACACTCTAATCTGTCAAAACCGAAGTCTTCTTAACAAATTCTATAGTTTCGCTAAGTTTTCATAATTTTATGATGAATACAACTTACTGTTACGAATACGATCTTCAGTAAACACGTCCATAGTTCGACGAATAAAACTCAAATCTAAAAAGAGTCAGATACAAAATTATATCAGGGTTTGGGTGCGAGTGGAAACAAGATCCAAAGCCATCGTTATCTGAAACCCATACTCAAAATGTTTCACGGAACATTTTACCACTACTGTACATTTGAACTTGATATTCGTTATCAAATCATTTTCTACGTATGAAAGTTTGACTCATTCTTGAAAAACATTCTCAAATACATACATAAAGATACTAATAATATAACTAGTCTCAACTGATAAAAAGTTCTAAAAGAATAACAGCTGAATATTCATGAAAAAACCTAAAATGATTTTGCATATGAGAAGATAGAGATTGCTTATCTAATCTACATCTATAATGATACTGTCAACAAAATCTATTCTATGTCTGACACAAAAAAAGTTGACATACAGAACTATGCAAGATTTATAAATTACGATACTATTAATTGGAACATAAGATAACAAATAGATGAAATATAAAAGCTACTGAAGAGAAAACGATAGCAGCGAAAAAGGAGCACCGAAAAGAATTGGAAAAAACCTATAAAAGGAAAGACAAATCTATCTATCCGAATTGAGATATACAGATATTTATATAAGGCAAAGCATGATTACATCGACAGATAAAAACATTTGATGACTCATAATAATCATACTTATTTTTCATAGACATCTGATTAATACATCTTTTCCCATAATACATTGATATCTATTTAGCATTACACACACAAACTAACCGATAGATAGGGAAAGGAATTTAAAATAAGGAGAAAGAGCTCATTTTACTTCTCTTTTCAATGAAGAATTCATGTGAAAACTTGCAGACATAAAAGTAGAATCCTTTTTTTTTACCGAAGAATCATTTATGTTCAACGAAAATTTATTAATATGTTAACAACAACTGAATTTGAGTTTAGCACACAAAACCTAGTCTCAAAAAACAATAAAATCTGGTTGTTTATGAGAGCCAAAATGCTTTTCTTGCCGATAAAAATCAACATGCGAAAAACTGTACTACACAGGTGAGTGATGATGTGAGTGAAGATGATAGTCTTCTATTGATTCACAGCATCTTCCTCACCCCCACAAACCATCACTTACATACTCACACCCACTTGTCCTCTATGATATGTTTTTTCCACTTAAAAGTGTGTAGTTCCGCACCAAATATGTGTCTGAATTTCAAGGGGAAAGTACGCAGACGAGGCACAGTTTCAAGTAATAAACATTAGGATTTCACTGAGTATGTTTTTATTTCAGAAAGGTCTCTTCGTATGTGACGTATTTCAATGCACACCGCGTTAATTATGCCTTGTAACTGTGGATATGAATTTTTTTGTCAAGAAAACCTAAAAAATGTTCTTTAGAACCTGGTGCAAAGGAGAACTTACATGTTCTTGAAATACATGTTTTTTAATTAAAAATTGCAACTCGAATGAACTTTCCTTTTCTTTGAACTTTATCTTATGAATTGCCTGGCTGTCAGCTGACATACTGCTAAGGAGAGAATGTCTCCAAGTTTGACTCGTCAATCGAATTGATATTTTGTCAATAAGTAGGCTCCGACGAGACAAGTGGAAGTCTATAAGGATTCGTCCCCATGTGCTGTTCTTCACAAGTTATTACACTTTTACTGTACATCGAGAGTTGAGCTCCCAACATTTAATTTAATTCGCCTCTGGAAAGTGCATTAAAATGGAATTCATTTTTCGACCAATCAAGTTCCTTAATTTGATATTAAATTTTCTAGTGTAGACAAGACCTATTTACACAACTAGCTCATCTTTCATATAGTGACTATTAGCAGTGTCATCAGATGTCATTCTATGACGCTAAATTTTCTCATTATTTTGTTATTGATTTGATTTATCCTCTGTAATTTTTTCTCTTTCATCTTCTCTATTATCTTTTTTCTTTGTTCAGTTTTTGTTGTTGTTGTTTTCTTTCCCCTCCCTCATCACCATCTTTATTATTTTTTCCATTGTTATTATTATTGATTTTTCTATTGTCGTTATCATTGTTATTCTACTATTATTATAACTATCTTCATTATCACTATCCTTGTCCATTTATGTTTCATTTGTTTATTTAATAAAACATATTAAATGTTATGATGACAAAGTAAGGTAGACAGCTTATGTGAACTCTTTAATTATTTAGCAGACTGAAATCATTAGTTCTGCTATACATTTCTAAACGAGAGACTTACAGTGACCAAAATACAATCAACTTCTTTCAATTACGTGGGTACCTTTTAAAAAATATTCTGGATTGAGACTAATCAAGCATGTATGTGTCAATTCTCTTACATAGTTACCATGCTCTAGTATCCAAGAGAGCACAAAAAAATAGATTTCACACATTTAGATTTGATTTCGATGTAGTACAAGATTTCATATAGAGATAAATATTGATCTTTTATTCTCAGAAAAACATTCAGATCATTGAAAAAATTCATTTCTATTGAAAAGAATTTTTTCATTTCATAACTGATAAACATTTTGGACCCTTCCTCTCATTCAAGAAAAGCTTGTTTTTGAAGGACTGAGAGGAGATGTGAAAAGTTTAAGAGAGCCGATATATATATGAAATTATGGCGAGCTTGACAAAAAGAAAAAAACGATATATGAAAGGTTATTTTATTTATTTTTTTGTTAAAATAAGTGAAGTTTACGCTAATTGATAACTATTTTAACTGCTGCTTTGTTGCTCTTTCGTCTATAGATTCAGTGTTTTCATAATGTTATTACGATCCAAAATACGTATTGGTGAATGCAATAATGTCGCATCAAATGCGTCCAATCAAAAATTGCGATTAACTGAAGAGAATTCTAATAGGTAAGTTTCCAAAAATGTACTTGGCAATTAGTAGGCAACAGTAAATATGTATTGTTTTAGGTAACGTTGAAATGGACATGGAAGTAGAAGAAGACAAAGAACAGGATGATTGTACTGAGCATCTCTTTGTTCAACCAATAAAAAGTAAGTTATTGATAATCATCAGTCTGATTTATTTTCAATCTGTTGATTTGAATCAAAGAGCTATTTCACATAAAGAGTTAGTTCATGTTCCTGTTTCACGAGTCAAAACCAAAACAATAATTCAAACAGAAATACCACAACCAAAACGTCGATCGTGTCGAAGAATTAATACAGAAATGTAAGAAACTCTTTTTCGTTTACGAGAGATTGTTTCAGCATAAATTTTCATTTGCATAGTGCTGATGTCAATTCACATCACTCAGTAAAATCCGAGAATACAAAAAATAGATTATTATCTATTCGTACGTGCCAAGTTTCACGGTCGAAAAAGTTATACTAGTCGATCAAAGTCACCAGTTGTGGCTCCCGTTCCTAAATCACACTCGATGCGTGCCAATAAACCAAACAAGTTAAACATATTTGTTCAATTTATTATCGAAATTCATGAGGCTGTTCTTGCTTAGTGCCATCACGTCAACTCAATCAATTCAAATTAAACAATATTGGAAGAGCGTATCGGCAAGCATCCGCGGAAAGCTGCTGCCATACGTGTTCTGTCCAATTCAAGTAACTGAGCCAAATTTTATTTATAACCTTATGTAAATTACTCTACTTTCGTTATTTAGAAGGAGGTATTAATTTTGATCAATTACTACAATCACTCGATGACTTAAGTGCTGAACATGAAACAGGAAAATTACTCGTAAGCTAATCTTAGCTGTCTTTTTTATGACTTATGTAAATGTTTTTCATATCCGTTTATTTTGTAGAAAACTCTTGTTGAACGAGACCCTGAAAAACTACAATTTTTAACTATTCATGATTTTGAAGATGGCTCTCTTGAATGCCAGATCGACAAGTATCAACCAACAGTGTATGGAGCTACCATATGTGTGCCTCGTACAATCTACAGTCTCATGAAAGGTGACTCAACATTGACAAGACTAGACATAATTAAGAGCGCTTGGCTGGACGAACAAAAACAAGTTTTCCACCTGTGCGGGAAGATTGGTGAACCTACAAACTTTCCAAAGTGGATCAAAGGTTACAAACATAGTGAGAGAGAGGTATGTTGTGTGACATATTAATGATAATAGGGATGGCAAAAATAGCAGTCATTCACACTAGTCACTTTTCCCATTCTGTCACTGATACACGTTATTCATTGAAGAAAATTCGCATATATACATTTATTGTATGATGCAACAGAACGAAAGAAAAGGAATACACGGATTTCTCTTCAATGGATAACGTGCATCAATGACAGAACGAAAAAAGTGACCAGTGTGAGTGAGTGAGTGATAGCTATTTTTTTATCCATAATATTGAAATTTTTCGTTTGTCGAAGGTCAATTGGGAGAGGTATTACGTTATTTAAAAAAAACTAGAGGATGAGTCTGATACACAACATTTTAACGATTGGGTAAAATTATGGTCAATTTTATCTGGTGAAAGTATGCACGTAAGCTAAACTGCCTCTCTCTCTTACAGAACAAACAATAAACAGCAAAAATGGAGACATTGCACTGATTATTACTTGGAAAAGTAGGTAACGTGAGTTATTGTTATATCGGACGATTCAATGACATCACTAAAGAGGAACTACACGTCAACAGTGAGAATCAAGCTTATATGGGGAACGGAAGATTAAGTGGATTTCTTTCCATATGATCATTTAGGCAAACTACTGGACGAATATCTAATTGAAGCTGTTGTAGACAATGGATTAGTACGAACTAGACTCAAAATTAGAAGTAAGAATTACTATTAACTGATCGATTTCAATATGATTATGATAATTTAAACCATCTACATGCAAAATCACACAAAACTTTATCAAAAACTAGGATGGATTCTGATGGATTACTAAAGACTGGATATAAGATTAGAAGAGTTACTATTTATTGGCCGATTTTAACATGATTATGATAATTTAAACCATCTAGAGGCAGAATCAAACAAAACTTTATTAGATATTAGGATGGACTCTGATGGATTACTAAAAACTCAATATGAGATTAGAAGTAAGAGTTACTATGTATTGACCGATTTTGACATGATTATGATAATTTATATCATTTAGCTAAGAAAGTATGTAAAGGTTTAAAAGAAAGTGTACAGCAAAAAGATGGACAATTTCGGGCTGATTATCAACAAATGAGTAAGACTCTACAGTTAGTACTGAGTACCAAACATATATTGTTGTTTCAGCTGCTACAAATATATGAATGACTAAGAAGAAGCAAGAAATAAAATTCATGCATTTATTAGAAGAACGAAGGTGGATAAAATCATTGGGTGTGGGGTGTGGGTATGGGTGGGTGTGAGCCATGTTTCTAATTCATTCCACATCCACACCCACCCACACCCACACCCACACCCACACCCACACCTACACCCACACCCACACCCACACCCACACCCACACCCACACCCACACCCACACCCACACCCACACCCACACCCTCACCCACACCCACACCCACACC